ATTCCAGTGAAATATATTTATGTTTGTGGTTGTAATGTGACAAAATATGGAAAAGTTCAAGGGGTATGAATACTTTTGCAAACCACTGTAGCTTTATACATAAAAATTCCTAATTGGTATTTATTTACTTCATAAATTGAAAATATGTGTAACTTTTTAAACAGGTAGAGATGGAGCTAAATACAGAGTTAGTTGTAATTTGAACAAAATATTTTTGAAGTCTATGAATTGGAATGAGATGTGATGGATAAGTACTAGCCCAGATTAAATTACCATAAGAGATAAAAGGATAGATTAAACTGTATTACAAGATTAGTAAAGTATTTCATTTTAAGCATTTAAGCATGTCTGTCTGTACTTCTTTTTTTTAGGGAGCATCTACTCCAGTCCAGGCTTATACAGTAAGACAATGACCCCCACCTATGACTCCAGAGATGGTAGTCCTTTGTCTCCCACCTCCGCTTGGTTTGGAGACAGCCCCCTGTCCGAGGGCAATCCTGGCATCCTTGCTGTCAGCCAGCCTATTTCCTCCCCAGACATCCTGGTCAAACTCTACAAGCCCCAGTCCCTGTTGGACAAAGCCAAAATCAATCAGGGGTGAGATGACGCTTGGCCAAACTGCTCATAATTCTGTAAATAATGTAGGATTGTGCAGCTTATTAAAATAGTTGGTCGAGACTACATCTTCTCATAATCTCATTTACCATATGTATTGTCTGAACAGGTGGATGGACTCATCCAGGTCTCTCATGGAACAAGATGTGAAAGAGAATGAAGTGCTCTTGTTGAAGTTTAAATATCACAGTTTCTTTGACCTCAACCCTAAGGTACATCACACAGACAAAGCACCAGAACTTTGACTTTATTCTCAAGGCAGTTAATAGTACTGTATGTTGCTCATGCATTGTGGTGTTATTGTTTATTTTTAAAGGAGTCATATCATGCAAAATCCACCTTTTTAGCTATTAAATGCATTTTGTTGTGCACTTGGAGTTTCTAGGAGTGCAGAAAAGTTTAATTTAGTCTTAATATAGCTTTGCTGTACTACGTAGATATCTTTATATTCTGTTTGGGTCATACTGTGTTTTGTAACCCGTTCAATTTTCTCTGTTTTCCATGATGTCTAATTCATGATGTCTTCTATTGTTGACATCTTTATTTAATTTGTAAATAAAACATTTCTTTGCTGCAAGATATTCTGAAACCCCTCTGTCAAACTAGAATGGACCAGTCTAAAAGCTGGAGGTGGGTGGCGTGTGAAGCGCCTCGTTTGGATTTAAAGAGACGGCATCAAAACAAGTTGAATTGAGACACACCTCAGAACAGGGGTGAATAAGGAGCTTGAGGAGTTACAAGAAGAAAGAATTCAGACCAAAATATTGCAGTTCCACTTTATATAGACCCCAACTAAATGATTTAAATGTGACAAAGGATTTAAATGCATGATATATTCACTGTAAATAAAGTACTGTTTAACTGTATTCAGTTGACCATTAGTTTTCTTCAAAAGGTAGAACCTCTAACAGCACATGTAGTGTTCTTGTCTTTATTCAGTCTGTGTGTGTTTGTCCACAGTATGATGCCATCCGAGTCAACCAGCTGTATGAACAGGCCAAGTGGGCCATCCTGCTGGAGGAAATTGAGTGCACAGAGGAGGAAATGATGATGTTTGCAGCCCTGCAGGTAAGAATACTATGTACCATGTGTTTGTGTGAGAGCTAGATATTGTCTGTCCTGTTTCAGCATTGTAACTTGGGGGAAAAAACTAAATCAAAGGAATTATAATTAAATTGGAGCCTAAACTGAGCCATGTTGTTGCAGAATGAGTTAATGTAGACAAACCCTTTCTCTGGGCTTCTTGGTTTGCTTTAATATGAAACAGTTCCATTAATTTTTGAATTGCAATACCGTAGTTCCTAGAAATACTGGAGTCATGACAGGCTTTTAAACTAAAACATTTTGATGAAAATTTATTAGTTGACAACAGTATAATAACCTCGTCAGGCTTTATGACAGAAACAAAACCATATGAAAACTCAAATTTTCTTGTGGTTGTTGTAAGTACATGACATCTGTAAGACTCTGCAGCAATATCACCCAGGACAGTGTTTCAAAGCATTTTATGTTTGTTTATGCATAGGACTAAGTTTTACAACGAAGCCTTAAGTGTACTTTTTGTAAACTCTGAAGCTGCTGCTATTCACAGAGCTGATATATATATA